GGGAGGATCTGGGAAGTGAGAGACAGCCCTAATAACATAAGCAGCTCGCCAGTTAGGAAAGACACAGTCCAAGGGAAGTGTCACCCCAGAGCACTTTACAAATAAAATTCGCTACAATTCGACTGAGCAAGTTTTGCGTACTCTTCAGAAAAGCTGAGCCTGGGGAGCATGAGACAGAGGGATGGGCAGGCGGCTCACAGGCAGAAAGTGTTTGCCGGATGGAAGTGGAAGGCTCCCCGGGGCGGGGGGGGCGGGCATCCTGGGCAGAGGCTCGCCCAGTGGGCACCTGGCAGAAGAAAGACACAGGAGACCTTCATTCCTGGGGCTCTTACCGATGTGGACGGCTGGGCCAATGCATTACTCCAGGCCAGCTCACACTTGGGGAAATACAGCGGGGCTGTACTCAGGAGGACATTTAGCCCCTCCCGGAGAAATAGCGGTGCGGGTGCTCTGGAACTTTATCCTTCTTTCTGGACATTTCTAGACTGCCTCTCCTTTCATAAATTCTGTTTTAGAGCATGAAGCCTTTTATTTATTTTTTCAGAATCTAACGTTTCTCTCTCTCTTTTTAAAAGATTTATTTATTTATGTTAGAGACAGCACGAACGGGAGGGGCAGAGGGAGAGAGACTCTCAAGCAGACTCTGTGCTGAGTGGGGAACCAGATGCAGGGCTCGATCTCACGACCCTGAGATCATGACCTGAGCTGAAACCAAGAGCTGGCCGCACCACCTAAGCGCCCCTAACCTTTCTCTTCCCAGGGCCAAAGCCCCCTAAATTGAAGCAGGGATGGTCACAGACATTGTCAAGGGCCTACCGGGTGTTACACAGTGCGCTTGTTCCTTTGACCACATTTTCTTGAATCCTTACAACAACCCTCATTCTTCCCACTGCGTCAGCAGACTGGACGGCTGAGATGGTTTGCACAGTAAAGTATTTGTGCACTAATTTGTACACGATTTGCACCAGGTCCAGCGCTACGGAGGGGTGGAAGATAGATCCCGACTTAGGTATTTTGGTCCTGCATTTTCTTCACCAGCTCACCAGCTCAGCTGCTTCCCACTGCAGCAGAGGACGCCCCCCCATCCTCTCGCTGAGCCGCACTGGCTCCCACTATTGCCCCGGGGATCCCCTCTGGGACTTGCCACGGACTTAAAATCTTGGAGAAGAATATCCAGTGGATTATATTTGGGAGTGAGGCCCCAAGGGAAGTGATTCTGTTGTCCATCGGGGTTTCAACCAGAATCATGCAGGCAGGCTCTCCTCCGTGGGGTGGAATGTGCTACCTGTCCCCGAACAGAAGAGGAAGGAGACACAGAGTGGCCAGAAGGAGGTGTCGGGTGGTGCATTTGGTGGGAACAGATCACACTTGGAATTCTCCTTCGCTCTCCCACAGCAGCGGGCCAGAGGACTGGGCACAAAGACACTGCCTTGTGCAGAAAAACACTGCAGCGGGGATGGCCGAGCCCCGGGGACAGTGACAGCTTGGCGACAGTGCTTTTCTCCCACACCGCCTCGTCTGGAGCTTCAGCTGGAGACAACACTGGAGGCGTCTTTCCACAGTAACAATTAGGAGTTCAGCTCCTTAAAATAATCACCAAAACGAACCCCCCCCCTCTGTTTTAGACAGGAGGGCTTCAGTTCCCATGAGGTCTGTGGGCCGATGACGAGCATGAGGTCCGCAAAGATTCCTTCCATGTCCCCCTTTGGTTTTTGGTCAGTGAATGCTGGTGGTGTCTACAAGCCCTGTCCTGCGAGGCACAGAAGCCCAGGATTGCAAAAACGGAGGATATACCTTGTATAAGGAATCATTTGCCTGTTTCACGGATGAGAAAAACAGCAGCTCTGAAGGAAAACAACCTGTCTGGCAGCCGACCAGAGCCCAGGCTCACGTGGCCTTCCCCCACCATCCGGAGGGGATGCTCACTGTAGGTTTTCTGAGGTCACACATACCCCCGTGGCTCTCTTTCCACGCGGGGATTTATGATTGGAGTCATAAAACCATCCAGCTATTGTGCAGAAAACCAGCCCGTCTCCCACAACTTCCCCCATCAATTTTGTGATTTTGCTAATTAAGTTAAACAATTTGCACATCCCTAAATCTCCCCATGGGTGCAAGTGTGAGTGATTTCTAACGAGCTGAGAAGACACGGCTGATCCTCCTCCAGGCCAGGGGAGAAAACTTCTCAGCACCACACTGGTGAGGGAGGCAAGCTCGCAGCCCTCGGAACGTAAATTAAATCCAGATATCAGCTCTCTGGCTCCCTTCCTCCTCCCCCTCTCACTTTCCCTCTGATTCTCTCCTGATCCCGATTCTGTCACTCGTGGTGAGCACAGCTGGTGGAGTATTTTAGCTGTGATGATGTCAGCCTGTTTCTGATAGGCCTCTGGGTAAAGCGACAAATCATTGGCCCTGTCGGGGCCTTGCACTTTATTTCTCCAGCTCAAAACCCAAGCCACCTTTTTAGCAGGCGACAGCCCTCCCCAGCATGCGGCACCCCCAGGCGGGGCCGCCCTGACAGACCTGCGAACAGGCCGTGACAAAGATTCTACCTTCTAATTTGCACCCTGGCTGTCAGCAGAGACTCGTGGTCTGGCTGCCGGAAGGAAAAGAGACTTCATGGGGAAGCCAATTACTCTATCATTCAAGCATCCATGGTGCAAAGTACCGAGCAGGGAAACACAGGAAGCTGCTTCCTCTCCAGAATGCCGGGTCCATCCGCAACCTCGGGAGGCCTGGGAAGCTCGCATCCACTCGGATGCCGGGGTCTTGGAGATGTTGTCTGCAGCCGGAGCTGTTCTCAATTATCAGTGTGAAAAGAGGTGCGGGTAAGGAACCAGCAGCTCTCTGAAATAACACCTCTTCCCGTGCCTGCCCCCGTTCACAGTAACGCCTGAAGGGCTGAAGGTGCCATGAAAAAATGCACTTTCAATTCTTGTTTATTTTCCATGCTTCACCTGGAGTCTGTTAGAAGACAACTTTGCTAAAGACAACTTGTTTTCCTTCTACCCATGCCCACCTCCAACGCGTGCAGGCAGGTGGGAGCGAGCCGCACCTACGGGACGGGCAGGGAGTTCGAAATAAAGATGCCACTTAAAAAAAAAAAATCCTGATTTTCGCTATTTTCTTTTTAAATCTGAACTTTGAGAAATCTCTCTTTGATCTTACCAAAGACTGTAAGCCTACGGTGACATTGCACCAGAAGAAAAGACATTTTTGGAGGCTAAAAGTTCTTGGCAGTGCAGGGCCTCTGACGTTGTGTCAGACCCCACATCCGGTCATTCACAAGCCCTTCCGGAAAACACTGGATAATCCCCCCTCCCCTGCAACTTGATCTCTTAAAAATACACTCAGAACAGTTCAAATCATTAACGAGTTTTTCTTTTGTTTTGTTTTCCCAAACATCACCTATGCCCTGACCGTTCTCAACTCAAGAGTTGAAGGAGGCGCCGTCACTTTGGGGTTTTTTCAAAGTCCTCTATGGAGGGGCACCTGGGTAGCTCAGTCGTTAAGCGTCTGCCTTCGGCTCAGGTCATGATCCCGGGGTCCTGGGATCGAGCCCCGCATCGGGCTCCCTGCTCCGCGGGAAGCCTGCTTCTCCCTCTCCCACTCTCCCTGCTTGTGTTCCCTCTCTCGCTGTGGCCCGACCTGTCAAAAAAAAAAAAAATTAAAAAAAAAAAAAAAGTCCACCATGGAAACATTCCCAGGAGAGCAGGGCTCAGGGGCTCGACAGCAGGGAAGCCCCGAGCCTGGGGGCCAAACCTGTTTGTCTCCAAGCCACGTGGACAGGGAAAGTGCTGTTTTCTATAAAGGGGCTGTGGAATAGAAGCGTTCAGTGATTTAAGACACTGTAAAAGAGAGGACTGAATGAGACCGTAGAAATTCATAGAGTTAATAACACTTCCAAGCTTTAACACACCTGACCTTGACTGAATCTTACCCCTTGGGGTTCCTACTTACTACATGCACAGGAGATCACCTTGGGATTCCCAGACAATGTTAACCATGCCTTTGATTTTCTACATTCTGATGCTTTTGATATCTTGGAGCCTGGCTGACTGGAGGGACTGCCCCTCCCGGGGTTAGCTTCGCATGCACACCAAACACCCACACTCCCAACCCACCTCCTCCACTGGGCTCTCACATCTATCTGCCCTCATCACTTCAGGCCCAGGTACCAGACACCCAGGGATAGCCCCTATGACCCAGAGCCCCCTGAAATTATTCACGCCAGCCAATCCTCAGTCTGCTTACCCCATGTTGCTCATTCTTTCCCACGGAAACTACCGTACAGGCTCTTGGCCATGTTCCCTCCTGGTCCCCCCTGCCTCCTCACTGACCCTGGTGCTCCTGCGGGTGGCCCTGCATGGCGCACCCCGTCTTTTAGGGATCTGAGTAGAACAAGCTACCTTTTCAATGGCAGGCCGTGTCCTCATCTGTTGGCCTCACCACACCTAAATGATAATAGCACCTACATTTTAAAACACAGACGCTGGAACGGGATGTGGCCATCTAATGTCCCCGCCCTGACCAGCACTGTCTTTTCCTGACAGGGACAAAGAGCACAATGACCCCAAGAAGGGCCTTGAGCCCTGCAGCGTTTCTCAAGCAGGATTCCTCATTTAAACCAGAGAACTAAAAAAAAAAAAAAAAAATCTTGAGTGGTGATTTTCGGAATCCTACAGAGGATGGTCCCTTACCAGCCCCCGTCTACAGGAGCGTGGAAGTGAATTCATTACAAACAGCGGATGCCTTGGGGCATTGGGGCTCATCTCTCTCACAGAACCTGGTCAGGAAAGAGGATAGATCTACAATCTGGGTATACATGAAAACCCTGAATTCTCCCCACAGCACATTCGGGCCTGGAAGTGTGAAAAGAGGTGCGGGTAAGGAACACTCATCTTGGAAGAGTGTTGGAAGACACTCATCTTGCCAGGAGAACGATGATGGGGGCATGGTGGGTGCCCCTACCTGTGCCAGTGAGGGGGGGTGAACATTACCTGTGCTCGGTGCTCCCCAACCGCAAACTGGATCACGGCCACGCCGGGGTGGTGGCTGTCCTCGATCCTCTCCACTGTGCTGGAGTCGATCTTCAGATCGCTGCTGATCTCCGCACTCTGGATGAAGTCTTCTGTCTTTAGGTCCTCCACCTTCTTCAGCTCCCCATTGGCCAACTGGATGATGGAGCCTTTCATGAAGTAGGGGGGCAGCGTGGGGGGCGCCGAGGCGGGGGACGCCACCGACTGCACCACAGGCAGGTGGATCTGGGCCTGCACCATGGCGGGGTAGGCGGCCTGCGTGACCAGGGCCTCGGGGCTGAAGTTCTCGCTCTTGGGAAGGGCGGTGGTGACGAAGGTGTGAGGCATGGCCGCGAACTGGGGCGACGAGGTGGCTATCGCGGGGGCTGCTCCCGACCCCTCCACGTCGGCGCTGCCCACCGGGATGAGCAGGGGCTGCGTCCCGGGGATCACCAGGTGCTGGGGCAGGCTGCCGGCGTAAGTGATCGCTTGCTGCTGGCTGCTCAGATAGCCGATGACCGGTGCCTGCGTCCCCGCATAGAAGGCGGTGGCTGGCAGTCCCACCGGGAGAGGCTCCGAGGCGCTGTGTGGGGTCTGGATGACCGTGTGGGGGGACAGCGTGGCAACGGCGGCGGCCTTCACGCCTTCGGGGCCCAGAGCCTGTTGGGGTGACAGCGCGTAGGACCGGTGCCCGGGCTTCCCTAGGTGCAGGCCGCTTTTGTCGTTGAGGGTGGAGGGGGAGGCCTCCCGGTGCGTGACCTGCTGCACCTCCAGGTCCGCGGAGGGGGTGTTGCTGGTGGGCAGGACCATCACAGAGGCCCGGACCCCCGAGGAGTCCCGGCCGCCGTAGTCGGCGGCGCTGGGGTGGACCACCACGTGCCTGGACTCGTAAGGGTGAGGAAGGGACTTGCTGGCCTTCACCAGGCCCAAGTCAGCCGAGCTCGGGGCCCCGTACCTCCGGCCCTTCTCCACCTCCCCGTTCAGGAGCTCCTTGGCCTGCATGGCCTGCTGCAGCCTGCCGCTCTCAGCTTTCTTGGCGGCCTCGCGCGGCACAAAGTGGCTGCCGGAGTCGGTGTATTGCACTACGACCTGGGGGGAGGGCCCCAGGGTGAGCGTGTGTGGGATCATCGTCTGGTGCGGGTGGAGGTGGACGGGGATGGCCGGAGGAGAGGCCGTGCGCCCGGCGCTCTGCGGAGAGCTGGAGATGTGGACGTACTGGTTCTGCTGCGTGGGTGGGGGGGACCCCGGGGTGATGAGCCCCGGCGTCCTGCCCAGGTGCTGTTGCTGCTGCTCAGCCTTGTGTCCTGAGGCTTGGCTCAGACTGCCCATGTTGGCCAGCAGAGTGGAATAGGCCTCCAGCTGGGAGCGCTGGGATGGAGTGGTGGCCCCCGCGGCAGAGGCCACGGCACTGGTGACGGGGCTGGCCGTCGGGGAGATCAGCTGTGAAGGGATGAACCCGGCGTAGGGCCCGCTGTACTGGGAGGACCCGATGAACTGGAAGGTGTGTGGCAGATGAGCGTACTGCACGGGGGACACCGGCGTCCCCGACTGCGGGGGAGGGTACGCCGCGGGCAGCGTGCTGGTCGCGGGGACGGACCTGGGCGCGCTGGGCGGGGAGTAGTCCAGCCCCGTGGACAGCGCTTTGTGTAAACCTATTCCCTGTTGTAAACCGAGCTCCCCCGAAGTCCCCGCCGGGCCGTGCCTGCCGCCCCCGGGGGCGCGGCCCCCGGGGTTGCCCGGGAGCCATGCCCCAGACTCCGCCCGGTGGTTGTTGCTCGGCGGCCCGGCAGCCTTCTCTTCAGAAGGCCGGCTGGTGGCGGGGATCTCGCGCTTCTTGGGAGGCAGGCATTCGTTGCTCCGCTCTTGGTTGGATTTCATTTTTCGCCGTCCCCCCTCCACGGTGACTGTTTCACTGTCTGGCTGGCTCTGGGTTTAGTCTGATACATGGAAAGTCACATTTGATTTCTGTAGGGGATCCAGGCTCTTCATGAGGAATCATCTCCTCGTGGGTTCGATCGACTGGCCGCAGCTCTGGAAGCTGGGAAAAAGGAAGAGGGTGGGGGACAAGGGGAGGAGGCAAGGCAGGAGGAAGGGCAGGAGGAAAAGGAAATCAAAATATCAGACTGAGACTAGGCCTCTGGCTTCACTGTGAATTCCCAAAACCTGATAAGAGCCCCAGCATGAAAGCACAAAAAACACTGGCCGTGCTGGACAGCAGGTCAGAAAGATGAGGAACATACCGGGCAAGTCAAAACCTTAAAGCAGATGACTTCTTTCAATTTTTTAATTTTTTTTAAAGTAGGCTCCATGCCCAGCATGGAGCCCAACACCAGGTTTGAACTCATGACCCTGAGATCAATACCTGAGCTAAGACCAAGAGTCAGATGCTGAACTGACCAAGCCAGCCAGGCGCCCCACAGCAGATGCTTTTTTATGGCATTAACAACTCCCCTAAGACCGTCTGCATCTCCTAAGACCTGTTTCTCAATACCCTCTCTCCTTTTCTTTTCTTCTTAGAGAGTAGATGGTTTATTTCTTAAATTTCCTTTTCAGAAACGCTGGTCCCTTCCTCACCTCTTCATTCCCTTGCTGGAAAATCAAATGAAGCCCACAGGGAGGGTGACATTGGGGAGAATCAGCCTCAGATGCAGGTGCTGGGAAGGAGCAGGTGAGGAGTGGGGGTCCCGAGCGGTCTTTGGGCATAAGGTTTGAAGCCTCATCTATTGGAGCTACTACTCAAAGGTTCTGCCTGACTCTGGGGCCATACTCGATCCACAACCATTCCCTCTTCCCTAACACACACACACACACACACACACACACACACACACTACACATGCCAACTCAGCAGAGGCAGCCAAAAATAATCTTGTGCTCTACAAGTTTCCAAAGAATTCCCAGTACAGCTACTCATATGGTAACAGAAAGCCAAAAGAAATCTGTGAGACAGTTAAAAACTGAATATGGTTATGCTTAAAAACAAGAATAAGAATGCGCTAATAAGGTGGATGCATTGAAGACTTTTTCACATGCTCCCTTCATTCTTTTCTTTCTTTCCAGGTAGTCTCTGAGTTTTGTCTTCACACCTTCCCTCTCCCTTTCTCCTTGGGAAGGGCCAACCCACAATTAACCCTAGAGATGAAACCTCTTTCAGATCAATCAGACCCGTGTGCTTAGCCCTGGATCTATAAATAGTGGGCCGGGAGCCAAGTGTTATGGGCACACAGCTCAGTCTCTCAGTGACCAGTGAGCCCCAAGTCACCATGACTGTGTGTGCACATGGATGCCCACTGGCAGCAGACAGAGAACATCAATGGCACCAACAGGAACCGGGCTAACAAGCAGCAGGTGTGAGTGCCCCCTCCAGGCAGCAGCTGCAGACAGGAGCAGTGCTATGTGCTGGGATCCTGGGAAGCTGCGGCATGGGCCTTGGGCTTTGGGAATTCCAGGCCCCGGGGGGTTTTGGCATCCTACTACCCAGACCCTCTTTTTTTACGATCCGATTTTAAAGCAAACACAACAAGGCAGCTGCCTTCAGCACCCGATCCTGGCCAACGCCCAAGCAGTGGCGACATCCCTGCTGTAACATGGCCTCTTTCCTCTCCTCTGCCTGTAACAGCTTCTCCCCCATCTCTGTCATCTGTTTAGCTATACTCCCCCACCCTAATCTGTAACTTTTGTTTTGGTCCATGATTTAGTAGTCCTTGTTGCTCTTGCTTCAGCATCATGACAGAACATCAACACAAAAGGGCAGATGACACAAAAGGAAGTCCCCATCTTTAATGGCTGTGATCCAGATATATATGAAGTAGAAGTGTATAAATTCGGTGTCTCAATGTCAAAGGTCATTTCAGTAACAACAGGATTTGTCATGTGACAAGAGAGGCACTTTAAAGACTGGGATGGAGGGGCGCCTGGGTGGCTCAGTCAGTTAAGTGTCTGCCTTCAGCTCAGGTCACGTTCTCAGGGTCCTGGGATCGAGTCCTGCATCGGGCTCCCTGCTCAGCATGAAGTCTGCTTCTCCCTCTCCCTCTCCCTCTGCCTCCTCCCCACCACTTGTGCTCTCTCTCTCTCCATCTCAGTCTCAAATAAGTAAGTAAAATCTTAAAAAAAAAAAAAAAAAGACTGGGATGGAAACGAGGACGTTAATGCTGGAGAAATATCTGTGCTGAAGGAGTAATGTCAATTATTTGCCCTCCTGACCTAGAGCTTCTAGAAGTCCAAAGTAACTGTGTTCTGTGTAGCCTTCTTTTATAAATAGTGCAGCACATAATTTACACACAGTATTTGCAAATCAATCAGGATGACAGTGCTATTTTTTTCTCTCTTTTTTTTTTTTGTAAAATGGTAAGTACTATTTTTTAAAAGATTTATTTATTTTAGAGAGAGAGGGAGCTCACATGTGCATGAGCGGGGTGAGGGGCAGAGGAGAGGGAGAGAGAATCCTCAAGCAGACTCCCCACTGAGCGAGGAGCCTGCGCGGGGGCTCGATCTCACCACCCTGAGATCCTGACCTGAGCCGAAATCAAGAGTAGGAGGCTTAACCAACTGAGCCACCCAGGCGCCACAGTGCTATTTTCAAAAGAATGACAGAACAAAATTAAACTACAAAATTATAAAAAATCAGCGGCCCCTTCTGGCTGCTTAAAAAGTACTGACAATGATCTTTTATCTTTAGATTTCAAGAGTCACTTAAGAAACAATTGTATAAGCTCTCACATTCCCAGGCCAACTAGCAAAGGAAAGTCATTTAGGAGATCTGCTCAAAGCAAAGCGTTCCCTGCGCCCCCTGCTGGTTCCACAGCAGCACTGCTCCAATAAAACCCCACAGGATTTCATTAGGGATGTTCATGCAAGAGTGATATGTCAGAATCCAAAATGAGAACATTTGCATATAGTAGGCCCAGCCAGTAAGAGAATAGGTTAATTAGCCCAAGGCAGCTCGAGGGAAGAAAAAGCAGCAGCATAAAAGTCCTTTCAAAGCCAAGCAAAATGTCAAACACATTCAGAAGAGGTCCATTAGCAATGCAAATGTAAAATTGCTTGTACAACCAAATGCACAATATACAAAACTAGAAAACCCCTCTGAAGGTACTTTTTAAAGAACCCAGCTTTAGCGAATCTGAAAAGGAATGCTGACTTGGTTCTCAGTAGTGCCTTGGTTTATTTACAGTGTTCATTTGAGAGACACTGGCTTAGCTGGCCCTCAAGGTCTCTGTAGAGACTCCAGGGCTGGTCTTCTGCTAATGGACCAGTAAGACATATTGGCCTTATGAAAAGCAATCCATTGATGAACTTCTTTTCCAGATAATACTAATGGTAAATCCAGGATCCAGAGATTAACACAGGAGCTGGAAAACCTAGGGCCAGACTGGTAAAAATTTTAATCTATCCTCCCGCTACATTTAGCAGGACCATGTCTCCTATTTACCAGTGCAGCTTGGAGGAGAGAGGGGCTTTCTAATTCTGGGGCATGCGTCCCTTCTCTGTGTTCACCAGCTCTGTACTATCTGAATCTCCCATCAGGGATAAGCACTGAGGGGGGGGATTGAGTCGCTGTATTTTCAGGAAACCACCAGAGGGCGCCACAGTTTGCCACCAGGTCCCTTGAAGGCTGTTCGATTATTCACGGCATTGAAAGAATGGAGAGGTATATTTTGAAGGTGGAAGAGCACTGAAGGGAAAAAAGGAAGGGAGACAGAAAGAGATACAAAAAAAAAAAAAAGAAGAAGAAGAAAAAAGGAGAGTAAGATTTTTGCTTTTAGGGTCTCTTTCTAGCTGCAAATGGCCTTAGTGTCCCTAATAACCTTCTTGGGGCTGAAACACACTAGTGGTTCACCTGGGCCCCTGCGGAGCTCGTTTCTAGATGCACAACAGAAAGAGTTCTTTCAAACATGGGGCCACACACTATTTTATAAATGCTAAGTTACCAGAGAACCACACATGCAGATCCCATTGTGCAAACATTATTATTAAGAAAGATACTGGATGAGTCAAGGCAAACTTAGGTATGGTTTGCCTGAGAACCTCTGTTCTGAATGCACTCATCTTAAATGCATTCTTTATGACTACATTTCTCTCTATTTTATAATTTAGCTCAGTGGCATAAGGCCTTGCTCTCCAAAGTGCTGTCCTCGGACCAGCAATGCCAGTCGCCAACCCCCTCCTCCCACCCCCCAGCAGCTCTAGAAATGCAGGATCTCAGGCCCCACCCAGCCCTCCTGATTTTGAATCTGCATTTTTTTTTTAAAGATTTTATTTATTTATTTGACAGAGACAGAGACAGCGAGAGCAGGAACACAAGCAGGGGGAGTGGGAGAGGGAGAAGCAGGCTTCCCGCCAAACAGGGAGCCCGATGCGGGACTCGATCTCGGGACTCCAGGATCATGACCTGAGCCGAAGGCAGTCGCTTAACCAACTGAGCCACCCAGGCGCCCTAGAATCTGCATTTTAACAAGATCTCCAGATGATTCATATGCACAAAAAGGTTTCAGAACCTCAGGTATGAGATTAAATTTTCTAATCATCAGCTCCTAAACAAATTGAACATCTCTAGCCTCTCTTTCTGATGGAGTAGTTTCTGAGAAACAAAACTGGGTGCTGTATATGCACCCAGTGGATGGAGCCTTGGAGATAAGCAGCTAATATTTAGGGAATATTCAGGGGTTTATTTTGGGGTCACTTTGACTCAATATAGTTCTAAGTAACTAATACTCCTTTTCTTCTGGTTCTTTGTGTCTCCAAAAAATATAGGGAAACACACTTTAAAAAAGCTGTTATCATCAATTTTATACATGACTCAGTCATCTCCACGAAGAAAAACAAAATTTAACAAAAGAAGCCCCACACTTCCATCTCCCTAATTCAAAAAAAATTCCTGGGCGCCTGGGTGGCTCAGTCGGTTGAGCGACTGCCTTCGGCTCAGGTCATGATCCCAGGGTCCTGGGATCGAGCCCCGCATCGGGCTCCCTGCTCTGCGGGGAGCCTGCTTCTCCCTCTCCCACTCCCCCTGCTTGTGTTCCCTCTCTCGCTGTGTCT